ACAACCGAGACCTTCTCCTCCCTCAAAGATTCTATATAACAAGATGGTTCACTCCTCTCTTTGAACCAATTAAAAAAGTGTTCTCAAAGTCCGGTGGCGCCCTCTTCAAAAAAGCTACCGCTTTGCGAACAGAGTTACCCTACTTGTGTGGAAAAAATCAAAGTGAAACTAACAAGTTTTTGTATAAATTATAATTAAAATTTGGGAATAACGCCTTTTAAAATGGTTACGTTGACAAAAATCCTCTTCAAGTGGAAGGGGCGACTGTTTTCTTCGTTTAATTTGGCTTTAGAACAAGAGGCGAGAGGTCATTAAAACAAAATAAACCCTAAACTCCGCACTGAGCGAACCGGAACAGCTGATGCGAAAGGTGGTGCTATTCTTCTTCTTCAGGAGAAACGAAAGAGAGCTTCAAAACAGAGACTGCAGCGACATCCGAACCAATGCGCGGACTTCTGCGGACACTTTTTTTGGCCGAGTGAACTATCTTGTTATGTACAATCTTTGCCTCCCCCTAGAAAATACCACTTACTCATAGGCTCTCTAAAAGGTGGCGCCTACGTTGTAATGCCCATCTGCTACAGGAATTAATCAATTTCAGATTTAAAAAAACAACAAAACAAAACAACTTTAAAAAAGAACAACACCCCCCGGTCCACCCTCCTCTAGAAAACCATACAAACACCCACGAAAACAAAAACAAGCAAAACAAAACAACAACAACAATAAAAACAAACAAACAAACAAACAAACAACCAAACACAAAAAAACAGCCCAATCAGTGTCCTTAAAATCCACCGGGGCTCTTGCGAGCATCGAAACCGGGACCTCCAGAATACTAGAGTGTTGTCGACTACTTCATCTCGTTGTCTTTTTCACACAACGAAACTGGCCACTGTCCAGCATGGCAAAATAGCAGCTGATTCCACAACTCGCGCGTTTCAAGGTCTAAACCTGGGTCACCACAGCCTGGTGGCGGTGATAGCGGACAGCACAAGTGACTTGGCTGAGGCGTTGGTGGAAAGAACGTTACACAGGTTCTGAAGTTGTTCCTTTTATAATAATTTTTTTACACCTCAAGAATTACAAGTTTGCCCCCTCCCCTAAAGTATATTATAGAGTTTGATGAAAGTGACCTGCCGCAGAAATTTAGTAGTTCTGCAGACATACGGTCATCATTTTCACTAGCAAAATGAGAATGTTTAAATTTTAAAACATTAAAAGAACCCCTCCCCCCAAAGAAACCCAACAAAACAACAAACAACAACAACAAAACAACCAATGATCAAAAACAAGAAACAAGCAAACAAACAAAAGAACAACGACTACAAAAACAAAAAAACAAAACAACTAAACCTAAAAAACCCCCAAACATACCCCCCCCCCTTTCAGCGAGTACGCACACCGGGTACTAAATAATCACGCAGTAAGCCATGGACTTGGTAGTTGTGTGTTGTGCCTTCTTTGAAACCCACTGCTCATAAAACTACTTTGAACAGGTTTAAAAACGGGTAAAGAATTTATTAAAGACTTGTAATTTAGTCAAGAAGCAGGGTCTACTAATTTGACGTTCGCTTTCGATAAGACGTATCATGTGGGTAGATAGCTTTGCTCTGAAAACCTTTAAACAATCGTAGTCGAAGCAGAGCTCGACAGGGATTTGAACTAAGGTCATCCGCACATAGTCAAGCGTAATACCAACTGGAATTAATAACACGGCAGTTGAGAAATTCGTAGTTCTGAGAAATCTGCTTCTACTTTGGATTCAGAATCAGAAAACTTTGTGGTCTGTCAAAATCCTTTAACGTAAAAAAAAATTGAGCAATGCAGCGGGGAAATTTTGAGAAAATTGCAGAAGAAAGGAGGCATGGAATTGTAAACAAGTAAGAGTGTATAAGCGCTCAGTTTCCTAGAGCAAGGCCATGTCTAAGGCATTCCTAACATTCATCAGTCAGACCCTAGACGAGATTCAAACCAAGGGTCCCCGTGTTCCAGATGGATGCGCTGTTTACCCCTGTGCCGTGGATGCTTACTTTACATTCTTAGAACGAACGGATGCTCGTGAATTGTACTCGACAAAACATGGATGATTGAAAAAATCCACAAAGTAATTTGCAATGGCATACAATAAGATTAACAGGGATAACTATAACACAAATAGCATAAGAAGATGTTAAGTGTGACATTGCGTAATACGCTATTTTATTTCAGAAAACGTTTCGTAACCTCAGCTGGATCTAAATGGAGAATATGGCCATGTGATTCCTTTAACAATTTGCTCCATGACACCATAAAGAAGACCACCTCAGATCACAACAGATGGGCAGTGAAATGTCCGTATCCCTTACAGATCGAGGAGACAAACCACACCGAATCTGATTCGCTGAAATATTTACAACCAGTTCTGCGAACCGTAAAGTAAAAATGCATCTAGAATCAATCGAAAAGGAACATTATATATAACTAACATCACCTCGTGAAGTGCATTGTAGCATCCCTGGGAAAACCGGATGAAACACCATGGCGCACACACCGTTAAAAATCCACTTACATAAAATTTAGGGATGCCATGCTGGTAATCTTGATTCGAATCTCCAAAAGAGTCGCTTGAACCTGGACTGTTACTGGAGATTTTCTGGCCCTCAAGCAACTTCGCTCAGGCTTATGGGAGATGGGGATGGATTTGGAGGTCCCGCCTCTCGACTGACCACAATATGATGAAAGGAGCATTAAACTGACGACAACATTCTTAATGTTCCGAGGAGCTTTCTTCAACCAATCCAAAAGCTGGACGTGTATTTCCAGAATAACACACGACTGTACATACACCAGTGGCTAAAGGAGTGGGCAAAGATTTACAATAAAAATACGTTTAGAACAAAGAGTAGCAAGTCTTCTAACGACAAATCGAAACAAAGCTGTTATGACATCTTCGAAAAAGAGGACTAAAAATGCAACATACTTGGGGAATTACGTGAAGAGACACTTCGAGAAGATACATTTGAGAATATGAATTAACGTTCGTCAGTTATGTACAAAAGAGTTAAAGAACACTAACAGATAAGAGGAAAAATATGATAACGGAACTTAAAAAACCCAACAACAAACAAACAATGGAACTTCTTTTGTTTTTCTATTTACACAAATCTGTCTGTAAAATATTATAGCGCAAAAGTATTTGCCTTCACACATTATAGAACAACGTTCGTGAATTGAGGTCATTTTAAATGAACACGATGACAAAAATTCTACATAAACTGCTGTACAGAAAACAGAGCTACCGCCACTAAAAGTTAAGTCTACGTGGAGTATCAATTTTTGCACTCAATCTTCATACGGTCTCAAAATAATATTATGAATGTTCTCAGTTGTTATACTTTTAGAAATACATGTCATTATTACAATAAATGTTACTATTTTCACATATCTGAGCAGCGGTTTTTTTTCCAGCTCTCTCTCAAACGGTAAGAAAGTGTTTGATTTTTTCAAGAGCAAACAAACACTCCATAAAAGAAAAAAAAACCCGGCCCAAAACCCAAATTAGAAAAAACAACAACCTCAAAACAAACCCCCAAACAACTACCCCCCCCCCAAAAAAAAAGAAGAAGAAGAAAAAAAAAGAAAGAAAAACAACCCAACCTTTTTAAACATTACACCAGCTAAACTCAGTTCAAGGGCAGAGCATTCGCCAAGTGCTACGGCTAATGCTGCTGTCACTGCTGAATCTGCTGCACACAAACAAGCACGACAAATGACACGAGAGTGCTGACTGCTCCGCCATTTGCTTAGGCAGGCATGAGCTCCAGTAAACGATGAGTCGATGACTACACATAATAATATGGACTCAATACCCACCATGTTCATTTTGGCCTCAATCTTGTTACAGGTTTTTACCCCAAGTTGCTTATACCCCAGTTACCTCAGTGGCAGGTTGTTTATACGTTATAAATCTCGGGACAAGCTATTTATGGTATATAAACCCCACACACAAAACAACACACAAAAAAAACAAAAAACCCCCAAACAAAACAAAACAAAAGGAAAAAACCCTGAAAAAACCCAGCAAAGAAACAAACAAAAACCAACCAACCCCAACCCCCCCAAACACAAAACAACAACAAAAACCTTCTTTAAAACAGAATACCAAACGAGATAAAAGAGATCCTTCTCCATTCCCTCCTCCTTCTCCTCGACATCATCTTTCTCACCATAATTGATAAAAACTCTTTCGGAGACAGCATCAGCAGCAGCGACAGCAGCATTGCTACTAACAACAAGCGAGTATATTATAATTATTATGCAACTTGAATCTACACGATTCGTGCTAGTTTTCCTAGCGTGATGTCCCGAGCACAACGCTGTTCGAGCGACCGTGAATATATCGTGGGTCCTCCCCGGCATGCACGGCTTATGCTCAGATCATACAAGCGGGCAGAAAGACGAATTCTGAATCCTTTGAAACGGTAGTTGAGAACACAAATGTAATAAAGACACGTACTAATTTACAGTAAGGGTGATATTTACATACTAATGAATGATGCAAAGTGATAGTATCATTATTAGATTGCACTGATTAAATTTTGAAAATAATTGTAATGAAATTTTTACACCTGATCATGATTATTTTGAAATCACGATAGAAACCTTATCGATCTAGATTTAATTATGAACATTCAGAAATAAATAAACACCTCAAATCCCCTCTCGCAAAACGTTTCGAAATTTGCACACCCGCACACACACACACACACACACACACACACACACACACACACACACACACACACACACACACACACACACACACATACACGCAACCCTTTAAAAGAAACCAAAGGGAAACTTGACATGTGAAAAGGTAGAGCAAAACGTGCTATCCAAAGCAAAGAATGAAAAGGAATAATGCTTAGGGTCTGGGCCTCTCTCTCTCTCTGTCTTTCTCTCTGTCTTTCTCTCTCTCTCTCTCCCTCCCCCCCTCTCTCTCTCTGTCTCTCTGTCTCTCTCTCTCTCTCTCTCTCTCTCCCCCCCTTAAATAAAATCCACATTTCTTCTTCAATACTAATAAAGGAACGAATATTCCAAGTAAGACGCCCAGGAATCACCCAAAATGAAAAGTTTACTTGGACGTATTTTTTTGCTATTCTTATGTTATTAATAAACACGTTACACAACGATTCTCTATCTAAAATACTTTTAGAAAAGAACGTAAAATGCTTGTTGATTATCCTTGCTGATTTTGGAACATCCTATGTGAACCATGACGTCTGTATACACACAGGCATGAAAGGAACTCATAAATTATGTCCCAACCCTATTTGTAAATTCAACTTTCTGACATTCACTTATGAACTCTAGCTGTAACGTGTGCAGTGGATACACTACGCTTACCACAGTGGACCAAAGACTACTTGCCGTGCACACGAAACGTTGGAATGTCTCAAACTGACCTTCAGGAATTTCTTTTCTCGACTATCACGCCTTTTATGGCAGCAAAACCTTGTTTGCAATTTTCTCTTCACAATTTGCCATCCAAAATTCCCTGAACAGTCTACTGAAAAAATTACCCAACTAAACCGATAGAAAAAATAAGACATGCATTGGATTGCCACCCCATCCTTCTACAGCTAGAAAGAACGCGCATACCGAGACATTTAGAGTATGGATACAATAGCATGAACGTACTTTAATCTTACATATTATAAAAACACGAGCAATGGTGTAGATATCTACTGTACTCAAATTGAATGCAAAATCCTTTTGTTGTCCAAACTAAAAGACATGAAGAGGATAATAAATAGCATTTATGAAGACAATAAATATGATTTACAGGTATAAATATGGCTGAACATCAGTACAGCGCATAAGAACTATTTATATCAATGAGTATATTTAAATGAAAACGAAAAAAAAAGGCAAACCTTTACAAAAACGACATACGTTTCCTTACAGTTCATTTTTAGTGCGAACTTGGGAGTCAACTGGACGCCTGGTGATGAAGAATGTAATAGGTGTTACGTCTTCAGAAGCGCCAGTCGAACATTACTCCATGATCACATCTTTCGAATGTCCCGAGGATCCGATACCCGTCACATCTGACACACAGGCTCATGCGTCCACACCAGCAATGTCCACACCTTGTTTAACCTTATGTCAAAAAGAGTGAGAAGTCATCGCAGCTTCCTGAACTTGTACGTCTTTTCACACCGAGAAGGAGAACATTTTGTTTCCTGATGAAGTTTACACGAAGAAAAAGATGAAGCAAAGCACTCACATCGTCCTTTTCGATTTCTGATTCCTTTCTTGCCACACATTTCTCGGTTGTCGAAATCTTTTAGCTCTTTCAGTCTGCAGACCAACAACCGTAGATGGCGATCGTTTGCTTGATTAAAGTTTTGTCGAGCAGTTTCAATATAATTAGCGGCCTCATCAAGCTTTCTTCATCAAATGTTAGATAAGTCCCGAGCAAAAGCGTTTCACACTCACACACCAAATAAATCCCCTCACAAAGAAAAAAAACAAAAAACTGCAGGAGTCAAAATAAACCAACCCATGTTCATAAACGCCAACTGAGGTATTTTGTAAGGAAGCAATGTTTTCATTTGCGGTCAATAAAAGTCTCAAGTATAATCATAATAATCATAATATTATGTATATTATATATAGAGAGACTACGCTATATCACCTCCCAGGTCATCGTCACGTGAACCATATATTTCAATCATAGAACTGTGGTGAGTCCCGCGTGTTGGGTTTACGACGTAGCTGAATATCCCCGCACAGTCACGTGACTTTGTCATGACAGGCCGGGGAGGGTCCGGGATATCACGGTAGCGACCACGCTGGACAGCAACAAGGCGATGACCCCAGATGACGTCATTGACACGCCTCCGTTGTCATCTTTCTGCTCCTCAACCTGAGCACCAGTGCCTGTAGAACAAAGACAGAAGGCAATACATTTTACTGACTACCTACTTTACTTACTTTTTATCCTCTGTTGCCATTAAGCATCGAGGGGAGATGTAGTTTTCTATGGTAGGCCAGCTCTGCAGCTCTTTTAATTGGGATGTTATAATTTCATAGAGATTCCTTGACTTCCTCAATCCATCTTTTGCGTGGTCTACCTCTTCTTTTATAGCCTGATTACTGACTACAAGTAACTCATTTCCCATAATTAATGTTATTCTTTCGGGATCTCTTTACTCACTTCTTAGGTCGTGATCATTTACTTCTTGTATAACATTTTGCTTTGTTCCTTGTGCGATGTGCATGTTGTCATTGATTGTACTGTGATAGTCCATGTATGAGTGTATCCTTATGTGTCAGCGGTCATCTAAAGAGAGTAGGTATGTACGTTTATGCACATGTCGTGTTTTGTGGAAAGATCAGGGTGTTGTAATGCAGACAAGTCAACACTAACAATTTGTCTCAAGGCCACCATTAATCCATTCACTGTCAAACCCGAAAACATCGCCCTGCTCTTCATATTCTCAAACTATCTTTTGTTTTGTTTCCCCCCTAGCCACACAAGCTTGAGAAAACGCAATTACCTACTTTGAGTGGTAAAAAAAATCTAAATAATATGCAGAAATGAGGCCAATTAGTGAAAAGCAGACCAGATTCTCACGTAATATTATTGCTTAGATGGTAGAGTGCATCCCTCTCCTCGCCCCTCCCAAACAGAGATCAAGCCAAGAAAAATACATGTTCTTTTCACGACTACTTTTAACAAGATCTGTGTTACCCAGGAATTCCCTCTCCTAAAAGACAAACCAGAGAGCCAGAAAACAGCCATGCGCCAGGTAGTGAAGGGGTTAATGTGAAACAAGGTGTCTGAAGGACATGGCTAAGAATTAGTCTTAAAGCACAACATGGCTCGCTAAAGCGTTTCCGATTTACACTATTTGAAGTACATAAAGTACCAACCAATTGACTAATCTTCAATCAATGCAGAACAAAACGAATAGCAAGAAATCCGAACATCAAGAATAATTTACAATAAATTATTGGATCTCTTGCGGAAATCGTTGCTAGATTCTGATGATGTCAGAGCTGTTTATCATTCATTAACCAGCCCAAGAAAAAACTGTGACGATTTTCTAATATTGATCAGGTCTTACCTCTTTTGACGTTGGGGTTGTTGGGTGCTTTTCATCACATGAAAAAAGACACAATTTGTTATTGTACATGGTATTGCGACTCTGAAACTTCACATATGAAATAATGGTACATGAGGGAGTGGTATAAAGCTGTGGTGAGTACGTGCACACAAGCTTATGTATAGGTGTGTGTGTGTGTGTGTGTGTGTGTGTGTGTGTGTATGTGTGTGTGTGTGTGCGTGTGTGTGT